TGTTCCAATTTTCTTACCTCTGCTTTGAGCTCTCATTCTCATTTTTACATTCATTCATTTGCTCAACCAACTGACAAGGCACTAGATATAGGAAGGTAGACCTGGTATTCAAGATATTCTCCATCAGGAAAGGGCTATAGAAATGATACCTATAAACCAAAAGATGAGGAGGGAGGGGTATAAACAAAAAGATGACGAGGGTGGAGTTCTATGTGAGAAGTCTGAGTTTTGAAGTTGGGAGGAATATTTATCACGCTATCACCAGCTTATATGGATACTCTAGGTTTGAGGAGGCATGTTACTGCTGTCGGCAGATGATCAGTACCGTCAATCCATTAGAGATTCATAACACATTTTACAAACAGGCAAATAATTATAGTAATGCAACCTTCTTCCTGAAAATTCTATGAGTAAGAAGTTGGTGGATTATTTAAAATTGGACTGTCCATCCTACCAAAAGCAATATACAGATTCAATGCTATTCCAATCAAAATTTCAATGTCATTCTTCAAAGAAATAGAACAATTATTGATGAAATTCATATGGAATCACAAAAAAACCCAAATAGCCAAAGCTCTCCTGAAAAAAAAAAGAAGGGAATGGAGGCACCACACTCCCAGACTTCAAACTATACTACAAAGCCATAATCATCAAAACTGCATGGTATTGGAACAAGAACAGACATACAGACCAATGGAATCGAATAGAAAATCCAGAAATAAACCCACAGATTTGTGGTCAACTAATCTTTGACAAAGGAGCAAAGACTATGCATTGGAGCAAAGAAAGTTTGTTCAATAAATGGTGCTGGGAAAACTGGGTCGCTACATGCAAAAGAATGAAGCTTCACCACTACCTCACACCATACACAAAAATCAACTCAAAATGGATTAAAGAACTAGACATAAGACCTGAAACCATAAAATACATAGAAGGAAATATAGGCGAAACACTACATGATATGCACATCAAAGACATCTTTACAGACACATCACCCAAAGCAGTGATAGTGAAGGCAAAGATAAACAGCTGGGACTACATCAAATTAAAGAGCTTCTGCACAGCAAAAGAGACAATAACAAAAACAAAGAGAAACCCCACCGACTGGGAGAACATCTTTGCACACAACGCTAATGATAAAGGACTGATCACAAAAATCTCCAAAGAGCTGATGAGACTCAACAACAACAAAGAAAATAATCCAGTCAAAAAATGGGCAGAAGAGCTAAAAAGAAACTTCTCTGAAGAGGAAATGCAAATGGCCAACAGGCATATGAAAAAATGTTCAACATCACTTGTAATCAGGGAAATGCAAATCAAAACTACCATGAGATACCATCTTACACCAGTGAGAATGGCACATATTAAAAAAAACTAGCAACAACAAATGTTGGCGAGGGTGTGGAGAAAAAGGAACTCTTCTGCACTGTTGGTGGGAGTGCAAACTGGTCCAACCACTGTGGAGAGCTGTGTGGAGATTTCTGGACCTACTAAACATAGAGCTTCCATATGATCCAGCAATTCCACTCCTAGGTATTTACCCAAAGGACACAGAAACATCAATTCCAAAGAACACCTGCACCCCTATATTTATAGCAGCACTGTTTACAATAGCTAAGCTTTGGAAACAGCCCAAATACCCAAAAACAGATGACTGGATCAAGAAGATGTGGTTCATATATACCATGGAATATTACTCAGCATTCAAAAAAGATAAACACATGCAATTTGTAGCAACATGGATGGCGCTGGAAGGGATCATGCTCAGCAAAATAAGCCAGAAAAAGAAAAATACCGGATGGTCTCACTTATAGCAGGAATCTAGAAAACTTAAATAAGGGACCAGGAAAATGAATAACTATAAGAAAGTGAAAATCAAAATCAACAAAAAACTATGAACCAGAGACACTTTTTGGGGGTAGGGGGCGGGAGGGGAGGGATTGGAGTCAGAATGGGGGGGTTGCAATTGTATTGGGAATATAAAAATAAAATTTATTATTTAAAAAATAAAATAAAATTGGACTGTCCAAAATTTTAAATATTATGCATTCATACAACCAAGAAGTTACTTATAAGTATTTTCCATGGACTTGAGTTTGAGAATGACTTCTGTATCTATTCAACATCACATTCGTTTATAACAATGATTTAGAATGAACTAAGTCAAGAGCTATCTCACCAATTATACCTTAATAGAGATGAAAAAAAATCTTCAACTGCTGTTTTATTATCGCAATAATAAATCTTTGTAATAATGGTTTGGCCTCAACAGTAAAAACCTATTATATTTAATATGTAATTTTGGAGAGGCAAATACATATTTCATAAATATGTAAAGTAATCCACAAAAATAATTAACTGTTCATTTGAAAGAGCTGATCTTCAGCTACCTGAAAATAAAAATATTCAAAAAGATACTTCTTTTCCCCAAGGATTTCAGAGAATTAAAGTTTACCTCATCATTCATAAATCAATATTTAGGCAACTGAATGTCTTAATTCCCAAATAATTTTATTTTTTTATTTTTTTTATATTTTTAAAGATTTATTTATTTATTTATACAAGCACTGGGTACAGTCAGAAGCGCGGGAGGGTGAGAGAATTCACCAGAGCCAGAGCAGAGAGCAGAACAGGCAGAGTGAGAAAGTACACTGCTGAGGAGTGCAGCGGGGCGTCAGGAGAGGTCTGCGCGCCATGTGGGACCCTCGCCCAGTGGCCAGGGATCGAACTGTCGCTGCAGAGGCTGCAGGCAGCTTCGCAACCCAGTGTTCAACTGCTGTGCCATCGGGGAGGCCCTCCCCAAATAATTTTAAAGCAAACTTCCTCTCTGAATTTATTTTAAGTAAAAAATAAAAGAACCTTGTGTATTGATTAATATTCTTTTATTATCTAAGTGAATAATTAAGTTGTAAGTGTGCAAAATTTTTCTTTGTACTCTTATCTCAATTACTGGAAAATACGTTGAATTTAGCTATTCTGTGGCTGCTAAGACTTCTCCAGGTCACTGGAACTGACAACATCTCATCCCTGACTCATTCTTTAAAACATACCATCCTTGGGCCTCCCCGGTGGCGCAGCGGTTGAGCACTGGGTTGCGAAGCTGCCCGCAGCCTCTGCAGCGCCGGTTCGATCCCGGCTGCTCCCCGGCCACCAGAGGAGGGTCCCACATGGCGCGCAGATCTCTCCTGCCGCCCGCTGCTCCCCTCAGCAGTGTACTTCGGTCCTTCTACCTATTCTGCTCCCTGCTCTGGCTCTGGTGAATTCTCTCACCCTCCCACACTTCTGACTGTACCCAGTGCTTGTATAAATAAATAAATAAATAAATAAATCTTTAAAAAAAAAAAAAAAAGTTAAAAAAAAAAACCATACTATCCTTGGTCATATTCCTCCAGCATGCAACTATAAATTGGGCTAAACTCATAAACTATCTAAGCCACCATTAGTTAATAATGGCACATTGCTTAATATATTGCTGCTTTCAGGGAAAAGCATAAAATATTAGGAAGAGTTATAGAAATAGAATACACAATCCAAGAACAGGAAGTTCCATCTCTCTCCCCCTCCCCATTTATTTTCACTGCTCAACAAACAATGAAGGTTCATAATGATATTTAGCTTTAGTTTGAAAAAGAAAGGAAAAGAGAATATACTTACTGACATTTGTATATAGTTTGCATGTATAGTGTCACATAATATATGTATGTACATATTTTCCAGTTACTTTAATATTTAAAATGATGCTTTAAGTTCACAATATTTCTAATATAGAGATGACAAAGAAACATGGAAGTATAGAAAAACAATAATAAAATTACACTTTAATTTCCATACATGACCAGATTATAAAGGAAATGGGGGGATAAGATAAAGAAACAGAGGTAGCAAGCCAGGCAAGAGGAAAAGTAGGAAGAGATTGGGTAGAAAATGTCAAATAGAGTAGAAAAGGGAGAAAAAGAAAGAAAAAGAAGACAGGTATATTTGAAAAGAAGGAAGAGTTGGCAGGCATATGGGGTACTTACTCAGTGTTGCCTCCAGCTAACACACCTGACGTCACATCCCCAGAGAAGTCTTGCTGCACTCCTGCTCTTTGGCTCTAGCCAGCCAAAAAAAAATCTTCCTCATCAAAGTGTTCAGAAGGCTATGGGCTAGTGTTGCCACAGAAATCCCAGAGCCCTAACTTTAGCTTAGTCTAATCACTGTAATCATTCTAATTAACTTCCTTTCACTTTCTCAACAATAAAACTGAAAGCAATTTACTTCACAAATTTGTATTGTCTTCTATCTCCGAGAATTAACAGAGACTTAATTAGCACTTAGCTGATCGTATGACAGAAAGAAACAACAAACAAATCAAAGCCAAGGCTTTCATCATTGAAATAGCTAATGTCCAAACTTGCCTCAAATATACATTTTCACTGAAAAAAATCACTATTCTACAATATACCGCAGAAGATAAAATAGCTATCCATATTTACCACTTCTATTTATAGGTTTTGACTTAATATGATTAATTTATTATTTAGGAAAACTAGGTATAATCACTTTCAAAGTGAGATAGTCTATGTTATTAGCATTTAACAAACATATTAAATCATTGTTCTGCTACTTCAATTAAGAGAAAAGACTTGGAAGATACTGAGTTTGAATTCCAGCTTAGGCTTTTTGTAACTGGATGACTGGGCAATTTAATATAAAAGTTGAACTTAAAGTTCTTTATCTACAGAATGAGGCTAATAATAACAATCATATATATTCCTTTAAGAAATAAATGAGGGTGTGGAATTGTATGACATGTACTCAACAAATATATCTATTATTATTGTTGTTTTAATTAGTCACTCACTGCCACTGTATAAAACATAACTATAGTCTATTTGCTTAAAAAAAGATTAAAGTGATTTTATGTTTCTCAGCAGTAACAAAAATTTAAAATCAAATATTGATAGTCACATATATTAAAATTGAAAAGCAGAGGTGTCATCCCTTTACAGATAGTTTACCTCAAAGTCTATCAGCTGTAGGTCAGCGATCAGTGTCACCAGCAGCCCGCTGCTGTAGAGTTCTTGTGCCAGCTGAGCTACAGCTTCTGTTGGGGGTTCTTTTTCATTTGTACCACACAGAATTTCTTTCATTGCTTGCAGAGACTTGGACACTTCTTCTGAAGCCTAGTGACCAAAAATATGCTGATGGTTAAGAGAAATTAAAAGTTTCAGGCAATAAGACAAACAGAAAAAACCCTCTCCTTGGGTCCAGTTTATTTATGATCAAAGAGCACTACAGAGGTATAAACAAACAAAAACTTAAGTGGGCATCACTTTTTCTACTTTGGAAAATGTTACTAAAATTTATTTATAAATATCTCCAGTATTTCTACTTAGTCAACATAATTGGGACAATTATCTTTAAAACAACACTCATAATTTTCCTAGCAATTAATTATAAATTTTAATTTATAAATTAATTATAAATTTTAATTTCCTGAAATTAAATTTACTCCATTTTATCAGTAGCCACTAGTATTTCAAAAAAGTATTTACTGGGCCCCCCCGGTGGCGCAGCGGTTGAGCGCTGGGTTGCGAAGCTGCACGCAGCCTCTGCAGCGGTTCGATCCCCGGCTGCTCCCCGGCCACCGGAGGAGGGTCCCGCATGGCGCGCAGACCGGTCCCGCATGGCGCGCAGATCTCTCCTGCCGCCCGCTGCTCCCCTCAGCAGTGTACTTCGGTCCTTCTGCCTGCTCTGCTCCCCGCTCTGGCTCTGGTGAATTCTCTCACCCTCCCGCGCTTCTGACTGTACCCAGTGCTTATATAATAAATAAATAAAATAAATCTTTTTTTAAAAAAAAAGTATTTACTAGTAAGGTTTTCCAACAAACCCCTGTTCTGATTTTTTTTAATGGACTAAGTATCATTTAAAAATTGTCAAAAACTTTGTCAATCCATTTATCCCTCATACATAATCATTACCTTTTTTGCTATCCACAAAACTTAAAAAAAAAGTCTACATTTAAAAAATAATGACGTAATCCACAGAGGTAAAAGGTAAATTAGTGGATGCTAGAGACTGGGGAGCAAAGAATGAGGAATGACTGCTAATGTAGGAGGTGTCTTTCAGGGGCTGTGAAAATGTTTTGAAATTAGATAGTGCTGATGGTATCACAACCTTGTGAGTATACTAAAACCTCTGAGTTGTACACTTTAAAATGGTAAGTTAAATGGTACTTGAATTATACTCAATAAAAAAGAATTATTGGATTGGCTGTATATTTTAAAAGATAGTTTTAATACTTTTAAGTATACTACTCTAATCATTAAAGTAGTATTATTAATAATTACAGAAAAGAATGAGGAGAATAAAGAAAATTAAACAAAAGTAATTATAATAGCATGACACTACTTTAAAAAATAACTTCCAGGGGTATTTTATGATCTAACTGGAACAATTCTTAATTTACCAAAGGTTAGAAGTTTCTGAAATTGTGAGATATAGCCACAAAAGAATAGTTTAAACATACTCAAGAATTATGAAATAAATATCCATGTGACTATAACACAGGCCAAGGGGAAAAAAAAGATACTCCTTTTCATTAATAATCAGTAAAAGGTAAATTAAAATCCTAATACATTAATATTACATACCTACTATCTTGGCAAAAATGAAAAAATGATGATTAAGCAGTGGTAAGGATGGAGAGCAGTAAGAATTTTTATTCAATGTCTAAGAGAAAGTAAACTGGAATTCACTGCTTGAGTAATAGTTTCATATTATTTGTTAAGTATCTGTGCAGGTACTAAACACTGCAATTTCACGCCTAAGTATAAACTCCAGAGGTAGTCTTGTACATGTGAACAAGGATGCTCACACGCAGCAGTCACTTGAGTTCCTGTGTTCATCCCAGAAGAAAATCCTTTTATGTCTTGATAATTGCTTTACTTTTCTCACCTATGCTTGTATCCTGAAGCAACATAATTAAGTTCTATTGATTTTGAGCTTTATAGAATAGTATCTCCCCTTTTATGATTTGCTTCTTTTCCCTCAACACTGTATTTGTGAGATACATCCGTGTTACTGCATGCAGGCAGCAGTTCCTTAATTTCCATCACTATTATTCCATCAATGGCTACATTGTACCTTTTTTATCAGTTCTTTGGTGGATGAACATTTGAGTTATTTACACTGACAGTTTATTATGAACAACAATGCTGTGAAATCCTTGTACATGCACCCCAGTTTGATCAGAACTGCAAATATATTTCTATATCCCTTATAAGATATAGGATGAAAAATATATTCCTACATTCTTACAGAATACAAGTCTGTATCATACCTGAGACTAAAAAAGATACTATGAACTTAACGGTTTTTATTTTATAGATATCTTGAATCTTGCCATCAAGCAGTTACTTAGAAAGAAATCAAATACGCAGGATTCAATATCCCTTGGAAGGAATAGCTAAACTACTAGAAAGCCCTTCTTTCTGTGAGGAAGGGCTGCTTAGCAGGACCCTGCTTAGCAGGGCCTTGAAACAATGTAAAAATGTGTTTGCACTGTAGGAGAAAATATTAGCTGATCCTTAAATGAAAACTTATTACTTTTCATGTCAATGTAACATTTTATACCAGCATAATGCCTTAGATTTTCAGTGCAATAGTCTAAAGGGATTCTAGGTCGGAAAGTCCATAGAATGTGAATGAAGAGTTCACAAGACATTAGACAAAACAATTATTAGTTAACAAATAACCTGAAATCAATTTAAATGTAATTACAGAGATACTATAAGCACATCACAGACAATATCTGGGATTCTTCATTAAACTTTATTTATTTTTTTTTTAAGATTTTTTTTTTTATAGAGGCATGTTTATTTGTTTGTTTGTTTGTTTGTTTTTGTTTATACATGCACTGGTTACAGTCAGAAGCGTGGGAGGGTGAGAGAATTCACCAGAGCCAGAGCGGGGAGCAGAGCAGGCAGAAGGACCGAAGTACACTGCTGAGGGGAGCAGCGGGCGGCAGGAGAGGTCTGCGCGCCATGTGGGACCCTCCTCTGGTGGCCGGGGAGCAGCCGGGGATCGAACCGGCGCTGCAGAGGCTGCGGGCAGCTTCGCAACCCAGCGCTCAACCGCTGCGCCACCGGGGAGGCCCCTTCATTAAACTTTAACATTGGTTTTGGTCTTGGAATACATGACATTTTTGTTTTGGCTCATACCTTGTCTGTCTTTTTGTCCTGCTTTTCCAAAATGGCCATGTTGTCTTTCAGAGTTTTCACAATTTCTGCTGGATTTTTTTGTGACTTACTAAACAAAGGCATTTTTTTCATTTGTAGAGATATCTTCTTCCAATATGGAATACTAAAAACAAACAAAGATCATGAATTTAAAAATTAATGTGATTTGTTATACTAAAATGACTTAGTTTTCAATAACCTTAATTCAGTTATTTAAAAAACTAAAATCAACTAAACTAAGTTTCATCAAATTTTACACCAAACTTAAAAATAAATATAAAACATTTTTTTTTAAAGATTTATTTATTTATTTATACAAGCACTGGGTACAAGTCAGAAGCACAGGAGGGTGAGAAAATTCACCAGAGCCAGAGCAGGGAGCAGAATAGGCAGAAGGACCGAAGTACACTGCTGAGGGGAGCAGCGGGTGGCAGGAGAGGTCTGCGCGCCATGTGGGACTCTCTCCCGGTGGCTGGCGCTGCAGAGGCTTCGGGCAGCTTCGCAACCCAGCACTCAACCGCTGCGCCACCGGGGAGGCCCAACATATAAAACATTTTAAGAAATACATTTAAAAAACTTTTCCTGAAAGCTTTACTCAAAGTTTAACATTTTCCTATAAATACAAGGATTGTGCAAAAACGGGAAAAGTACTTTTAGAGAATAAGCTGATATTTAAAATGGATTTTTTCCTTCTGATTTATTGGAGTAATGTTTGTTGTTTGTTAGATACTGTGCTAGGCACTGGAAATACAGGAGTGTATATAACAGACCTAATGATGATTCTCATGGAATTTATAATCTAATGGAGGTTGGTAAGGAACAAACAATAAAAATATTAAATAAAAGGACAAGACACTTTGAGCTATTAAGAAAATGAAATAGGGTGAAGTGATGTGCTATGAGGTTGGTGAGAGATGGAACTGTGTATTGGTTTCCTAGGGCTGCCACAACAAATTCCCACAAGCTAGTGGCTTAAAACAATATAAATTTATTTTCTCACAGTTCTAAAAGACAGAAGTCCAAAATAAAGGCATTGGTATGATTGTGCTCTCTCTGAGCGCTCTAGGGAAGAACCCTTCCTGTTTCTTCCCAGTTTCTGGTGGTTGCTGGCAATCCTAGATGCTCCTTGGCTTGTGACAACACTAATTTAAATCCCTACCTTCATTTTCAATGAACTTCTTTCCTCTGTCTCCTACAGAAGGGCAATCTGGCCATATTATATAGGGAGGTTATAGCAAGGAGACTATATGCATTTATGAGCAGCAAAGAACAAGACTTGCTGGGAAAAATGAGTATCAGGTTTTCACCTTTCTGACTACTCAGTTTATTCAATAAATTAAGTTGCATCAATAGGCTACTGTCCAAGAAATAACTGTAACCACAGAAACTTGGACAAAAGAGCTTTCCCACTGGAGAGAGATGACCCATAAATCATTATACCTAAGACAAATATAGCTACACCTATATCTGTTAGGAGGAACAAAATTGATACTGCAAAATGTGAAACTGCCCTTTCTGAGGCTGGAACTCAGAACCTTCAGATTGTGAGACTGTTGTGCCTCCTACTGCACTACAAGCAGACAAGGAAAAAAAAAAAAAACCCTCTTCATATATTTTTAACACTGAATTTTAATTGAGGTAATATTGTTTTACAACTCTGTATGTGATTTAGAGGTGTAGAACCTCCCCTTCAGATGTTACCACACAACACCCATCACCAAAACACCCAGAGTCCTGTACCTCCATTGTGTTCCCTCCCTACTCTGTCTTCTCTTTCTCCCCTCCTCCCTTGGTAGCCTCAGTTCCATAGTCAAATTTCTACGGTTTGTTGTTGGTTTGACTTTATCTGGCTCTGTCAGTATTTGTCTTTCTCCTGCTTTATTCGCATAGCATAATCCTTTCCAAAAGGATATTTTTTTCTGGTAATTTTTTAAAATTTTTTTACAATATTATTCATTTTTAAATAATATTTGCTCCCCTCCTCCTCAGGTGTAGTCCCCATAGAATTTCCCTCACCAATGCACCTGTACACCATTACCACAGTACCCTGTGCTCCTCCCTCTGATCCCTCTCCCTCCTCCTACACTGCAGGATGTCTCTGATTTATAATTGTCTGTTCCAAAAGGATATTTTAACTAAGACAGTGATGATGATGATGATATAATACATGAAATAAACATTAAATAAAAGTGGAACTGGAATCCATATGTGGTAATAAAACAATATTTAAAAGTGTGTTACCCACATCTTTAAAGATACATCATCTAAAGCAAAGAAAGTGAAGGAAAAGATAAACAGCTGGGACTACATCAAATGAAAGAGCTTCTGTACAGCAAAAGAGACAGTAACTAAAACAAAGAGACACACTGCTGATTGGGAGAAAATTTTTGTGCACAGTACTAATGATAAGGGACTGATCACAAAGATCTATAAATGGATGCCAAGACTCAACAAAAGCCAAGTAAACAATCCAGTCAAAAAATGGGCAGAAGAGCTAAAAAGACAGTTCTCCGAAGAGGAAATGCAGATGACCAACAGGCATATGAAAAAATGTTCAACATCACTTGTTACCACCTTACTCAAGTGAGAATGGCACATACTAAAAAAACTAGCAACAACAAATGTTGGCGAGGATGTGAAGAAAAAGGAACTCTCCTGCACTGTTGGTGGGAATGCAAACTAGTACAATCACTATGGAAAGCTGTGTGGAAGTTCCTCAAACTACTAAAAACGAAGCAACCATATGATCCAGCAATTCCACTCCTAGGTACTTACCCAAAGGATACAAAAACATCAATTCAAAAGGACACCTGCACCCGTTTACTGCGGCACTGTTTACAATAGGTAAGCTATGGAAACAACCCAAATGCCCAAAAATAGATGACTGGATCAAGAAGGTGCGGTACATATACACGATGGAATATTACTCAGCAATCAAAAAAGATAAACTCATGCCATTTGCAGAGACATGGATGGAGCTGCAAGGGATTAAGCTCAGTGAAATAAGCCAATAAGAAAAATATCAGATGATTTCACTAATAGGAGGGATGTAGAGGAACCAAATAAGAAATCAGGAAGAGAAAAAAAGTAATTATAATAAATTAAAAATCAAAATCAACAGGCAACTATAAATCAGAGACATTCTGAGGGGAGAAGGAATAGGATCAAAACAGGTGTGGGAGGTACTTTGGTGATGGTACATGGGTGAAATGGTGGTGGGAATTTCATGGGGACTACACCAGAGAGGAGAAAGCATACATTGCACAAAAATGAAGAATGATGTAAAAATATGTAAAATAAAAAATAAAAGCATGTTACCCATGATAATCATGTAATTACATTGTAAATTTACTTAAAATCTGTTTTTATTTAGTCTTCAAATATTTAGTTGATGAAATGAGGACTAAGAAAGGAGAGGGTGAGGAGAGTAGGGAAAAGTATAAATTCTTGTTTTTGAGAACATCTATTGCCCACAGCAGAGAAAGTCAAATATGGCTGTCATCCCCTAATTATACTTAACTGAGTAGCTTAGTAAAGGTATATTCATGTACTTTACATTTATTAGCAAAAATATTTCAAACAATAAAGAAATATCATGCACTAAATCAAAAGGATCCCATTAACCAATCACCCAGAGATGACAACTATATCAATTTGGTATATAGTCCTCTGAAATTTAAAAGCATTTAAAAATAAAATTAAATTACTAAACATAATACTTTGCAATTTCCCCCACTTATTATATCATTCTGTGATATTTATATCTACAACAATATTGGTTGTTGTAGATATGATACAGAATAGCCACAGAAAGTCATTACATCATACAGACACATTGTATAATTATTATTTAGCAATTTCTTATATTTTACTAATACTTTATTGTAGGATATTTGAATTGATTCCCTTTTTCTATTATTTCATTAACAATGATGCAATAATCAACAAAATAATATATACAAATGTGTATACATGGACACAGCAGTGGTAACACTCTAACCAGAATTCCAGTGCTCTAATCTTGGCTATGGTTCTAAACCATCCTTCTCCCACCTAGATCCCTACTTCCTAAATGTGGTTTCTTAAGATTTCTGTTAGATCCATGAGATATCTGATATCCTTCCAATAAATTCCTTCAATATCATTGTTTGTAACCAAGAATTCCAATAGAACACATATATGTTAGGAAGTAGGAAACAAAACTTTTGGTATGAATTTTAATAAGACTTAGACATTTTCTGTTTTTAGTAGGGATGCCTCAACTCCCAGTGTGGCCAGGCTAAGTTTGAAGGGAACTTTTCTCCTCTCAGGGCAAGAATAAAGTAAGTTAAATCAAAGCCCATCAGCCTCTAAAGCAAATACTGAAGGTTGACAAAGCAATCAAAGATAAAGTATGTGAAGATCACACTGTGATTCTCAGTAGGTGGTGTCAGGTGCAAAAAAGAGCAATGGAAAAACATAGTCTCTTATCCCTTTACAAAACTCAAGAATAAAAATATAAAGATGCACTAAGTTTTTCATTAATAAGTAGCTCTAAAAAAGGTTTAAATGTGAAATGTATTTAAAAGTTTATATAGCCTGGAGGTGGGTATGTAAGTTATTGGATAGTTTGGCAAGACAAGCAATCTTTTGCTTACTGCCTTGGTGATCCAGGGCATAGTATGTGATCTCTCTAAGATTCTGTGTTCTTATCTTTCAATGGGGACAACACCATTTCCCACACTGAGCTGTGAAGATTAATGGTATGTAAAGTACCTTGTACAGTGACTTGTTTTATAAATAAGGTACTCTATTATGTTTAGCTGCTATTATAAAAAGTTTCTGACACAGTGGATTATGATGGTGGACTACAGGTGCTTTGTTGATGGGTGCACTACACTCTCTGCCCCGGGGGGAGATTCTATACTTAGGAAAAACTAACAATTACATAAACCAATGGTACTTCAATTTAAAAAAATTAATACAAAAAATTAAAAGCTACACAACATAGGCAACAAATTACTTCATGAAAAAGAAAGACATAGTAGTTGAAATATGATTTTTGTCTTATTTAAATATCCTAGACACTTTACGCCTGGAACCAGGTTTTTCGTTTTTTAAAAAAAAATTATTCTTTGAATGTTT